GCAAAACCAACAAAAAATATTTTGGTATCTTAAGTGACTGACATGTATTATGGCTTAAGTGATTGTCTTCTATCTGATGCATATGCTGTAATAAAATTGTCAGTCTGTAAATTGCTGCAAGATTCTTAAGATACGTTTTGTCAGTAAAGGATGCCATGAGCTTTTCATTATTGTCATTCTCGGTGGGGTATCTGGGTTGTATTTATGATTCCCAGGAAATTATGAGAGGAGGCGAATATATAGGCTTAAAATACAAATAACTGCATTATTCACTTGTTAGGAGCAGATTTTATCCAAGCTGTCCTACCTGTTTTCTTCTTTGCTGGCCAACAGTAGCTGGTTGATTCATCAGCACGCCATAGAGGCATTCACACAGTTTGCACAGGTAAGATGAAGTCCAGCTGTGCTTCCCAGTTTGGGGGAGAAATGCACACGATCGCACTAAAATTAATCAGTTTTAAGCTCACTCTTAACACTCTTGGTGTCTGTAAAGGGCTCGATCCAGCTAAGTTTGGTTACAAGTAACTGAGCTCTTGGCATCCAGAGATTCCAAAGGAAAGTGTGCTGGCCCTCTGGTGGAAAGAACTGCCAGTAGCACATTCCCTCCCTCAAGTTCTCATTTGCACTGCAGTTTTGAGAAATGAGAAGCAGCAAAAATCTCTGACTCTTATCATGTCGAAACTGCAGTGTAGCGAGAGAAGAGTCCACCACTCTTCCAAAACCTTGCCACATGGTTTCAGGAAGATGCACTGTCTTCTGGAGTTTGGAGAAAATGAGAAACAGTAGGACAACTTGAAAGAGAAAATGCAGGGACTTATTTAGTTCTCCTGAGGTTTGGTGAAGTTGTTAAAAAAACAAAAGAAACTCAAGTCTCTTCCACTTTCTATCCCTTTGCTTTCTTGATGTTCCAGGGCAAATGAGAAACCCCCCTAGTAAGCAAAGCTAGGGTTTGCAGACCACTGCTTAACTTCCATCACATTCAGTGGTACTTAGATTAGATGCTTCTCTTTGGCTGGATAATATAAGTAGTGTTAAGTCACAATGACATATTACAGATTAGTTTTTTCTGGATCTGTAGATGTTTGTGTTATTAAAGAGAAGAGAAAAGCAGCTGAAGTAGGAATTGCGTAAATTCTACTGATAGGTATTTTAGTTGTAATTCTAGCTCTGCTTTCATAAAATACTTGGGTGCAGGGAAAGACTAGGGCTTAGAATTTTAAAATAACAGTAACATTAAATAAGATAAGGGAGGACAAACAGGGCAGAAAGATTTGGGAGCACCTGACTTTGAATAATAAACTGCCTGCTCTTTTGTTGTTAGTTCTAATAGTGCTGAACATTTCCAGTTGTTTAGCAGAAATTCCTCAAATCTGCTTGATTCTTGTGTTAACATAACCAGGCTGTGGTGGGCATGAACCTTCTTCTCCCCTATTTGTTTTTGTGCTGTTGTTTTTTGTATTAAGGAGACGAGCCATGAAGCCATACTTTCCCAGTGCCTTAATTCCGAAGAAATTAAAAGCAAAGTTGTTGGCTTCCTATCAAAGGTATTTCTTAAAATATAAAATGGATGGTATGCTGCTGGTGCCAGATTTTCCATTTTGAAATTTATTGTTTCCTGAACAAATTATGCACATTGATAATACAGAGTTATACAGTGGACCCTCGGGTAACATAACTTTCGGGTTGCGAACGCGGCAACCCCGGAAGTGTATACTTTCGGGTTTCGCCACATGCGCAGAAGTGATCTATCGCGCCACATGTGTGCGCAGAAGTGGCGCCTCACATTGCGGACTTTTTGGGGTACGTACAGACCCCCGGAACGAATTAAGTTCGTATCCGGAGGGTCCACTGTATTGTGTTTACAACTATACTGAGCTTTATCAAACCAAAAGGCATAACCTGAAACGAAGATATGCAGACAACATACCTTGTACATGTACCAAAAGATGGACTTTTGTTTATTTACACAAGTAAGGACACTAAATCACTTCTTTGTAGTCTCTGCAGTCATACCTGTGCTTATTTATTTGAAATATTTAGATCACGCCTTTCAGCCTAATGGGCCTTCTTTAAGGCAGCCAGTAACCTCTAACCAAGGGAAAACAGCACTTGTAATGTTAGAAACAGTTTTCTTCCAAACTCTTGACAGTAGTAGCAGCAGCTATGAATTTAACTGCATAGTTAGGTTATTTCTGCTCTGGCTTCTCTCTCAGACCCGCCTTGTAGAGGAGTCAGCGGAAGCAAGAGCAGAACGAATGAAAGAGGAAAATGTTCGTCTTAAGTGCCATTTGCGAGAAGCCACAGCAGACAGACAAAGGAGCCTGACCTCGGAGGTATGTCGCGGAATTGGGAATGCGTGTCGTAGTGATCGCTGCTATCATTTTCACAGTTCCAGAGATTGTGCTAAATTTGTGCCAGCAAATTGAGGGCTAAGACACACATTTTTGTTGTTAACCTGAGCAAGTCTGTGCGCTCATGAGAATACATTTATTGTGTGAACTATATATAGACAACAGTCATGTCACATGATCATGTCGCAGTTTATAGGAATTGCTGCTTCCTATCTGTATTTTTCCAGTTCATACAATTTGCACCTCAATGTTTACCCAGAGGCAGTCACTAGTCAGGCAAACAAAAATACTAATTTGGGGTCTATTAGTCCTCATTTTATATCCCTGTATGTAGCTTTTAAGGGACGTGGGTGGCGCTGTGGGTTAAACCACAGAGCCTAGGACTTGCCGATCAGAAGGTCGGCGGCTTGAATCCCTGTGACGGGGTGAGCTCCGGTTGCTTGGTCCCAGCTCCTGCCAACCTAGCAGTTTGAAAACACGTCAAAGTGCAAGTAGATAAATAGGTACCGCTCCGGCAGGAAGGTAAACGGCGTTTCTGTGCGCTGCTCTGGTTCGGCTGCTCAGCGGCTTAGTCATACAGGCCACATGACCCGGAAGATGTACGCCGGCTCCCTTGGCCAATAAAGCAAGATGAGCGCCGCAACCCCAGAGTCAGTCACGACTGGATCTAATGGTCAGGGGTCCTTTTACTTTATGTAGCTTTTGCTATAAGGAAGAAAGGGGTGGACTCCTGGCTGAAGGAGGGAAGACAGCACCTCGTAATCATTCTCATCAGTTGAGGAAAGGCAGTCTGGAACATATGGGCTCCCAGTTCAGGCCGTCACACTTTATCCTGATATTAGGAAGTGAGGATAGTTCTGCATTGCAGTATATTCTTACCTTCAAGCCCTACTTTTTATTATTAAGATACAAACGGTAAACATTTCTAACCCTTGCAATTCATGGGGAGAAAGGGTCTCTCAGTCTGTCCTACCCCCCAGAACAAGGAAGGGATAGAATAAATAACTTCAGAATTTTTCTCTAACAATAGCTGCCTAACCATACCAGGTCTACTCTGACATAAGTGCCACTGAGTTCAGTGTGGCTTGGATTGCAGGCTTTAAGGGCCATGTTAGGCAGAGCCTTTTTTAGGCAGGGCAAGAGGTTTTAAGACCCATTCTTTTGACTATTGAACTTCAATCACGTTATTGTAATTGAGTTTGTAAGTGATGGGGCCACTGCTGCTTTTATAGTCTTCCTGGTACACACAGGTCTTGCTTTACAGATGCTTGTTATACAAAACTTCACTTATCTGAATAGGAGGAATTAGTGCCCAAACCATGTTGTATATGCCACAGATTCAGATAATCAAACAGTTGGATCTGTGTGTGGTACAGTAAACAAATAAGCAGGCTTAAACAAGCCTTACTTGTTGCATTTTGCTGATCTGCAATACCGTTTTGTCGGAAACCATGATGAGAGGGAGGGGTAGAGACTGGACAAATAAGAGAGCATTTGTTTCCTTGTTTGCCTTTTGCAATGTTTCAGAGGGGTTTCCTGTCGTTTTGGGGTCAAAACTCCATGCTTGAGAATGCATTAGAAATTTCCCCATAGTAATCGTTGACACGTTGTGCAAAAGCTTGTTTAATTACTGATTTCCAGGAATGCATTATATTCAGTAAACACAACCTGCATGTATATAATAGCCCATGCTGGGGCTTTTTGTTTGTTGGAATGACAAGTAACTAGTAGTCTGAGAGCTGCTTTTAAAAATAAACACTGTCATGAGAAGTGACCCCTCTTGGTATTGCAACCTTTTTCTTTGGGGTTTGCAATTACAGGCCAAGAAGATAGTGCCCGACAGTCTCCATACAATTTGAAATGGGTCGTTTTGATTTTTGACTAAGCAGCACTACTTAGCATGCTTAATGGCTATGAATCAAAATCCTGAAAATCAGATTCCATCTTGTGTGTTGAGCAGTGACTGGGTTCAGAAGTGTCGGATTATAAAACTACTGTTTTCCATTTATAGCCCTCCCCGAAAAGAACTTGCTACTCAGCCAGTGAAGAGCAATATAAGTCAGCAATCGACGCTGCCGGAAGGACACTGGAGGTTTTGAAAGCGCTACTACAAAAGGGCCCACCCCCTATTTGGTTCGCAAACAAACTGGAAACTTTACAGATGACACTGAACAGTTTGAAGAACAGCATAAGTTGATTTAATGCAACCTTTTGAGTGACTTCAGTACTGCGGACTGCAGTCCCACCAGAGATTCACAGCTCAAAGCCAAAGAAACAAAGTGCAGTCCAGTGGTAATTTTAGAGTAAGCATGTTGTATAGTTGGTTTGTAAAGTTTACAGGGTCTTATTGGTTCGAAGAGTGAAGATACTGAGCGAAGCTTAAGTAAGTTATTGAACACAGAATTAAAATACATTTTTTCTATACCATTTCCTTCAACTTCAGCCTGCCTCCTTTGCTTACCAAGAGCATTACAAACATGTAATGGAAACTAAACTGTGAGAACGAAGATTTTTGCTGTGATGCTATTCTCCCCTAATTTAAGTTCACAGCGTCTCACACTGTACAAAAACATAGCTTTGTAAAAGACAGCCTAGAATTTCTTGCACCTCTACCTGTTGAATCAGTTCTCATAAGAAATAGATACAACATTTAACCAGTGAATTGTCCATTTATTTTTCCTAGTTTTCCATAACGGTAACTGTTGGTGGAAAAAAATCAGACCACACAGCCCATCCCTCTTTCCAAGCGCACAGGGCTGCATGCATGAGTTGTCATGTGGCCTAAATGCTGCAGGTGAAAAAGGCAAGCACCTGAACGGACTCTGAAGATACCTTTGAGGCCTTGGTGCCTGTGGAGGGGCAAGACTTGTCCAGGGCATTGCAGAAGCAGCTATCTAACTCAAAACATAGCTCAAGGTCTTTTATCTGTCACCAGTTGGCATCATCTTCCCAGTTCAGCTCATCTTGTTCCCAGCCAACATCCACCTAGAATAAAGATAAAATGCATTAATTATACCAACAAGCTCTGTAATAAACAAATGTTGCACAGCTAAGCTGCTGAGAGCCATTACTTTTTATTGGCTATCAGTGCTGATACACTTTACGTAGAAAAGTAGTACAAAAGGGATGCTGAAGGCAGAGACTTTCTAGCATCACTTTGCGAATGACCATGGGCTGTATCCTAAACCAGCTATAATTTATTTTTTTAAACTGATACAACATGTTGAACAAACAGAGGTATCCAAGTTCCAAATTCTCACCTCTGTAATTTCAGCTGCTGCAAACTTAGAAGAGAACTGTGCATCGCATTCGCTGCCGGAGACTGTGTTCAAGTTGTTCTGAATGACAGGATGGGGCCCCAGCTCTGGCAGAATCAGTAGTGCTGACGGAGGTTTGATGTCCGGGACCATGTCAGCAAACCAGTCCAGCTCTGTGTCATGCAACTCTTTCCTCTTCACCTGGATCATATACTCCTCCCCTAAACCACATTCCAACTTGGGAGGCTTCTCTAAAAGCGCCGCTTTGGGCAAACCGATTTCGTCTTGCTGGTGGTCCCTGTGGCCGTAGCTGCCACTATTGATGCTGGGTCCCGGAGATGGATTACATTTGAGAGTTCTGAATTCTTTTCTGAGCTCAAACATCGTTGGAGGCAGCTGCAGCTTTGCGACGTCATTTAACCCTACAGCAGTGAGGCTGTTTCCTGAGGAGAGTTTAAAGTTACGGCTGTCAGCTGCACCGTCCCAAGATTTGTCGTCTACATCGTGACCAGCAAGACAGGGACTGCTGTTCACACAAAACTCTTTCCTTTGGCTCTCTACACTTTTGTCAGCCTCTGGCTTTTCACCCTCGCTCCAGTCTGGCCATTCCTCTCCTATCTTCTCAACTGCATGCTGATAATTTCCACCATTCCTCAATATATTTAGTCCACCGGGAACACTGCTTAAGTGCAGAGAGTCTTGTTCTCCTGTGAAAGACACAGAGCATATGTCTGTTTTGAGGAGGGATGCATTATAAAAATTTAAAACACACCAACATACATGACTGCTTGCGCTGAAGAGACATAAAAGGTAATCCAAGCTGAAGAAAAGTCCACCAGATCAGAACATATTAACCTAGCCTGACATCTCTTGCGGCTATCAACGTAACCAGTTAAAAATAGTAAGTTCAATGATATGAAAGGTCTCCCGTCTAAAGTGGCTAAGAGCTATAAATGCTAGATTTTTTCCCATAGGGCAGAAGGCACTGCAGAATCTTCAGAGCCTTTCTAGAAGCAAGGACTGGCAATGAAAAAGAAAAAGCCAGGATTACCTTCCCTTAAGGCGACATTGGACTCTTGCCTTGGCACATGGTTCCTGCTGCTGAAGGGAAGATTCCCAGAGCTGGGGTACTTGAGAAACATGGAGTTATTCTTCTGCAGGGGCTGATAAATCAGCCTTCTCTCGCAACTTACTACATGATTAGGAGAGTCTACAAGGATACACAAACCAAAAAAATATGGAAAAATCATCTATCAGCAATATTTGCTTTTCAAAACTTCCACTTACTCAGACACAAAGGTATCATTCTAAAGCAGTTTAAAGCATAGCTAAATTTATTTTAAATTCTGGCATGCTTTAATGAAGCCAACCAATCCGAATACATTTAGTATCTGCACCTAACTGGAATTTATTTTTGTCAGTTGCACTTTTTAGCATACCAAGCACATTTGATCACTCTGCCCTGATTTCCCACAAACAGGTCTTGGGGAAAGACAGGGATTTCTCTCACTTGTTAGGCTATGAAGACAGTAAGAAACAGCAGAGTCTGTTGTGCTTTTTTAAAAAAAAGAAACTTCAAATACTGCAAGCCTAGCTGGGGGAGCGGGAGCATATTTATTTCCTTTGTGTTTTAGTTTGGGGGAAGATATCAAACAGCATGGGAGACTCCTGCTGTCTGTCTCCAACCTGAGAGCTGGAAAGGGATGAAAGCTGTTAATCATTGTTGCCAGAGGTCCATGTGCCCTCAGTGGAATGAAAGATATCTAAGCTGGGCTTTCAGGCACTGTGGTGTTGTCATAAACCCATTAAAAACTTGTGACAACACAAACATACATATAGGAAGGTAGGCACCAAACCTTTTGCATAAACTTGAACACCAGACTCAAACAACTTGATTATAGAAAGGAGGATCATCTGCAGAGACAATTTCAAGATTCTGGAACTTTAAATGAGAGTTTGTTCCCCCTCCACCCAAGAGAGATTCTACCCATACATACATAAATTTTAAATAAAGGTTCCATTTAAAATAGACTGATTCAGGAGCTTTGGGGGGGATGAGAGGATGACCAGCTGCTCAGCACATACACAAAATATGAACAGCTGAGCCTATTACAATTAGCGCATAGTATTTTTTATTAGGCTTGTTCCATTGATGGGAGCAATGGCCTCTACTAACCACTAGTGCACTTTTGACTCACATGCCGCAAGTAAATTTTCTGTTTAGAACTAGTTGCCTAAACATCATCCCAACCCTGAGGAGAAAATCACTGGGTTCAGCACCTATTCCCAGCTGAGAGCTAACCGTCAGCCCTGGTGCTTTCCTAATTAGAGCATCAATGCCGTGTCTTTCAGAAAATAGTTCACTAATTATAATCTGTTGCTCCAGTTACAATCTCTGCTCTGGTTTGAGGAGAAGAGCAGGCCTATGTGCAGCTCAACTGGTTTGTAGGAGAGCTTGAAACCTGCTGTTATTTACTTACCTTCTGGGGAAAGGTCTGTGGTTTTCGTGAAGCTTGGAGCTGAGCTTTTGAAGATCTTTGTCCTGTCGCCTCCCACAACAACTTCTGGTCCGAGCAGTGAAACCAGCACCCCTAAGCTTTGCAGCGTTGCAGCCACCAGAGAGTCGCTGGTATCTCGCAGCCCCAGTAAAACCTAGAATAAGGACAGGCTATCAAGCACAAGCCCGTTCAACTGGGGAACCGTTTGCTGCAGGTTCTTAATCCTCTCTTGACAGCCCAACCAAGTCCCTGTGTCACGCCTCATTCCTCTAGCCAACTTCCTTCTGAAACCAACGTGGGTAAGTGAGCAAGCCCCACCTCCCTTCAACACCCTGGCTTCTTCACAAAACCAGTAATAATGAGACACTAGGTAGCATCTGCTTACGGTGGACTCTAACCCTGAACACAGACCATAAGGGTTTGGAGAAGGAGGTTCAGTGTGAGTCAACATGCCAGTAAGCAGGATTTGTCGTCTAAACGGGACATAGGGCTATGATTGCATAGAACGGGCTGTACGACAGGGATGGGAAATCTGTGATTCGAATCCAGTTCCCAGGGATGGAGGCCCCCGTTTCCTGGCCCTGCTTTGGGAGAAGGGCACATGTGTTTCTGCGGTTACACACAGGGACACAGTAGCAAAGCTGAAGAAGGGGGGAGATGGGACATGTGGATATAATTTATAGATATGGGCAATAACTTAGCTTGTTCCAGTGCCGGACAGGCTTTATTTTGTCGGGAACCCCACCGCAGAAACAAGTGCTTTCTTGATACGTTAGTCCCAGGTTCCCGCCTTGTCATATTCACCTGTGGCAATATTACATTTTTCAGCTCTTTCTGAGTGAACAGCTCTGCGTAGGCATCTAGGTGAGACAGCAATACCATCCGAACGTGCTCTTCATGCACCTCAAACAGTTTCAGCAGCACGGGGCTGACGTGCGCCTGGAACACGGCCGGAGACAGCAGGCCATTGATTTGGCTCTCGCCCACTTTATCTAAAGCAAAAAGGGTTGAAAGGGTCAACAGGGTGTCTGCTGAAGTTGGCGATTTGAAACCGCCAACACGGACAGGAAAATGTCTCTAACTACCACAAAGCCTTCCATCTTACAGTAATGCGTGGCAGCTTTTCTCTAGCGATGCTGCAGCTGGGAGCAGAAGCTTAGCGCTTCCATCAGCCAGAGAAGCGGCAGCTGCAGGGAATGTTTCTTCTCTGCCCCCAAACTCCCAGTTGGCCTGGGATTGTAAAACGGAAGGAAAGCATGCGCAGGTCTCATACATTGCCCAGGGCACTAAGGGCTGCTGGGTTGTGTGGCTCTGCAAGAGTTACAGCAAGCCACCTTTAGAATCGTGGTCTAAAGATGGTACACAAATAAATGACGAAGCAGCGGCAAGTCCAATGCATTGACCTATTGACTCTTCTCATGGTTGTAGGTGTGCAGGCACTATAGGAAAAGCAGCCTGGAGCCTTACGGGAAAAGGAACGGCATCAGTGGGTGAGAAGCAGAGTACGTTTAGGCCAGAGGACAAGCTAATCTCTACAAGGCAGTTAGTGCATCAAGCGAGAAGGAAAGGCAGCAACAGGAAAGAATAGCCGTATTGTGGGCAGGTATATAATGGTACAGCTGTCCCCTTCAGCACAGCTTGAAATTCTCCATCCTCTCATACTTCTAATGCGTTGCGCTTAATCTGAAGAGATAATGAAAATTTCACCTTTTCTTGGACCAAGGAGATGGGGAAGGAAACTCTTGACAGCTACTGGCTCAGCAAACACCAGCTGATTGAGCAACAGAGGTACCAACCGCAAAGCGATCAACTTTTCTGACAAGCCAGCCACTCTGTCCAGCAGGAATCTGTTGAGAGAGAAATTGCTCAGCCTTCGCCATTATGGCCTTGCAATGCAATTGCTGTACCAATTTCCTCCCCTCTCCTTTCTTGCTCGCCCATTTACAACCCAAACAGTGGGAGTTTATCAGTTATATAAATGCCCAGTGACTTGGGAGCCCAGGGCTATGGCAATAGAGCAGTGGACACAATCCTTTCAGGAATGGCAAATCTATTTCTGGTATTTCCAGATCCTAGACACACCTGGGAGTAAGTCCCACTGAATGCAGTAAAGATTTATTCATTTGAAGAGATAATTTTCATTTTTTGTTACACTGAAGCTTGTATCACAGTGTTATTTGGTCACATGTATAGCTGCTAGATGTTCTGTTTTATCTGCATTCTTGAAGACTGCTTAAGTCTCACCCATGCTGGCTCCGAGTGATTTCTCCAGAAGGAATGGAGCCCTTGAAAGCAAAAGATTTCCATGCCCTTGCTGTGTATGCCTATACATTAGAGTATTGGCGTGCTTGAAGTGAGGAACGTCAAGTGTGTCTCTAAACATCTACAGAGTGCAATTGTTTCAGTCCTACATATCGTAGCTCAGTACTACACAATTATTTGCATGATCAGACCACCATTCAGTCCAGCAGTGCTTAACCAGCTAACTTCCCCAACCCCATGTATAATGGCTTTGGTTATTTTTACTTTTAAAATGTAGTATCTTTTTTTTTTTTGCAACAAAATGGTGCTTATTGTTTATGTTGAAAATATGGAATGCGCATGGGGGGAGAGAAATGTTCACTGCATGCTTCACAACTGAACTAATACCCAACTGTCTAAAGTGGGAGCTCTGTTGCCACTAAGTTACGGAACTAAAATGAACTAGTTGAGAACGTGATTCTCATTTGCACCCTCATATACATGAGAACTAGTAATGAGACAGGACGTCACTTGCAGTCATTGCAAAAGGAAGATATTTTTCTGCAACGTGCTACTGTTCTGACAGACACAAAACAACGTTTTTCAAGAATGTTATCACAGCTTTTTTGGAGTGAAAAGGACCCCTTTTCAATCTGTGCATTAAAACCAAATCACACAGTTGATGCCCACGGTTACCAGAGAAAATACTAATAAAAATACTACAGGAAAGAAGACTTTTTATAAATAGTGGCAAGCTAACCTAAGTAATCAATTAGCTACTGACATTCCTCACTTACTTGAAAAATTCAGTTTTCTCCTCTTCCGTTTTCAGTGTTAGACTGTTCAGAAAGCTCACAACTTCCAGAAAATCATTTCTGATAATGAAAAAAAAAGTCACTATGCATCAAGAATTGAGAAGTAGAAGCAAAAGGAATTTGGTATCCACAAAGGAACAGAAACGCTTAAGTAAAGTAGAGATAGTAAAAGAAGGGTAAGCTTTTTTCCTCTCATTTAATGCTGCTGGAAATCAAGGGGTCATCTAATGAAACTGAATGCTGTTAGAATCAAGAAAGACAAAAGTACCGTATTTTTTGCTCTATAAGACTTTTTCCCTCCTAAAAAGTTAGGGGAAATGTATGTGCGTCTTATGGAGCGAATGCAGGCTGCGCAGCTATCCCAGAAGCCAGAACAGCACGAGGGATTGCTGCTTTCACTGCGCAGCGATCCCTCTTGGTGTTCTGGCTTCTGGGATTCAGAATATTTTTTTTCTTGCTTTCCTTCTCCAAAAACTAGGTGCGCCTTATGGTCTGGTGCGTCTTATAGAGCGAAAAATACGGTACTTCTTCACATGGTGGTATGAGATCACTGGCGCCAGGTATAGGGGGTGCTAGGGACTCCAGCCCCCTCAATATTTAGAATCAGGAGGTCCAGCCCCCCCCCCCAATATTGAGGGGGGTGACATCCCCGTCACCGCTAGGCACCCCAGCCCACACCCAGAAGCCGAAAGGGGGATGGGATGAGCAAGGGCGAGCCCAGCACTGCACTCCTCCCTGCAGCACGTCCCACTGGGGCGGATGCGTCATGTGATGAACCCTTCCCACCAATGTGACTGGTGAGTTGGTGCCTTTGTATGGGATTCACTTCTACATGATGTAGTGATTGATGGCCCCCACCATCCCTGACGGCTTTAAAAGGGGGCGAGACATTCATGGAGGAGCAGCTTATTAAAGGCTACTAGTCATGATGCCTACATTGTACTCCCACTGACAGTATACCTCTGAATACGCTAATCTAGAAGGTCCTATGGCTTGATCTAGGGATGCGGGTGGCGCCGTGGGTTAAACCACAAAGCCTAGGGCTTGCCGATCAGAAGGTCAGTGGTTTGAATCCCTGCGACGGGGTGAGCTCCCGTTGCTCGGTCCCAGCTCCTGCCAACCTAGCAGTTTGAAAGCACGTCAAAGTGCAAGTAGATAAATAGGTATCGCTCCGGCGGGAAGGTAAACGGTGTTTCCGTGCGCTGCTCTGGTTTGCCAGAAGCGGCTTAGTCATGCTGGCCACATGACCCGGAAGCTGTACGCCGGCTCCCTTGGCCAGTAAAGCGAGATGAGCGCTGCAACCCCAGAGTCGGCCATGACTGGAGCTAATGGTCAGGGGTCCCTTTAGCTTTACTTATGGCTTGTTCTAGCAGGGCTTTTCTTACATTCTTAGTAGTCGTACCTTGGTTGTCAAACGCCTTGGTACTCGGACATTTTGACTCCGGAACACTGCAAACCTGAAAGTGAGTGTTCGGGTTTGCAAATGTTTTTGGGAAGCCCAATGTCCAACGCAGCTTGAGCGCAGGAAGTTCCTGCAGCCAATCGGAAGCGACGCCTTGTTTTTCAAACCATTCCGGGAGTCAAATGGACTCCCGGAATGGATTAAGTTCAACAACCAAGGTACCACTGTAGAATTAAAATTTGGGGTTGTATCCAATGATGTTCTGCTCAGCACAATGGACCTATGTTAGTCATGCCCATTAACTTCAACTGGGTCTAGTGAAAGTACAACCAACAGTGGATACAACTCTTTTATCTTTAGAAGGAAATTATAGGACCTGGCCTTAGCCTACTTAAGTCTTCAGATGAATACTTCAAACTTCAGAATGTATATTGACTGACAGAGCTGAATTACGCAACAATTCTAATAAGAATATACTGTAACATTTCTCTGAATCATAACTTCTTGCAATTATGGTTGGAAAGTACTGTATTTTTCGCTCTATAGGACGCACTTTCCCCCCTCCAAAAATGAAGGGGAAATGTGTGTGCGTCCTATGGAGCGAATGCAGGCTCCTTGGCTTCAGCGATAGTAACGCGAAGCCTCCGAAGCGCAGAGGGAGAGTTCCCTCCGCGCTTCGGAGGCTTCGCGTTGCTTTCGCTGGAGCCTGGAGAGCGAGGGGGTCGGTGTGCTCCGCAGGCTTCGGGTTCCTTTTGCTGAAGCCGGGAGAGCAAGACTCTCCTGGCTTCAGCAGAGAGGGAGAGCTGTGCTGCGCCCCTTCAGCCAAGCGGGAGGCGAAATGGAAGGGGCTCCGTTTTTCCTGCCGCTTTGCTGATGGGGCGCTGAGCAGAGAGGGGGAGAATTTTTTTTTCTTGTTCTCCCCCTCTAAAACAAGGTGCGTCCTATGGTTGGGTGCGTCCTATAGAGCGAAAAATACGGTATATTTTGTTTATCAGAGGCCAGTATTTAGGCAATTTTGACTACTGGGTGTGAGAAATGTCAACAAATGTAACCTAGAAAATCAGGATTTCAAAGAGCGTCATTTCCTATCACACCACTAAAATTGGAGTGATTGTCCTTGTAGCATATGATGGTCACTTTAATCCCCCGCTCCTAATCCGTAATGAAATTCTTTTAAGGAGTAAGCTTGTTACATATCCCCAGTTGTACGGCTCCTTTCACCCACACTCAAGAAACCTCTGATGATGACCTCTGAATTTCATACTTAGGTAAGCTTTTAAGGCATCAGCACACATTCTAAGACTATGCTCACCTGAAGAATTCGTGCTGCAATAAACTGGACAGTCGAGAGCGGCCCATAAAATCTGGGTTTAGCAAAGTAGACCGTAAGGTGTGGTGAAAGCTGGATATAACGTCCTCTGAAACTGAAAGACAGTTTAGCAATCAAATCTATGTTAGAAACTCAGAGCAAAAAGACAGGCTCAAGAAATACTGGGGGCAATTAAGGTTCATTCTTCTGCACCATAAGCTTAACAGCAACACTTTCAGCAACAGGAATGACTTTTCCTGCAGTTTAAGAATGCAGAAAACAAGGTTTGGCCAGAAGGCAATGCAAGCCCTAAGTACTAAGAAATATCCTTCCAAACCAACACAAGGAGAGAACACCCTTAAAAATAATATTAGCTTCTACTTTAGGACTTAGTCCTACTTGATAAATTACAGGAAAGTACTCTTAAGGGAGTCATTCCTCATGCCATTTAGCTGGTGGAGCTTCCACAGGTATGTGGCACGAATGCCTGGGAATATTTAGGGCAGATTCTCTTCCACCAAGTGGGCCAATGATATAAAATAAAATATGCCAGAATGACCTCAATGCAGATTACCATGCTATTTATCTAAACCCTTAGCTAATATATGCAGGTGGGACAATTAAGCCATTGCTATCTTTGCACTGGGACGCGGGTGGCACTGTGGGTTAAACCACAGAGCCTAGGACTTGCCGATCAGAAGGTCGGCGGTTTGAATCCCCGCAACGGGGTGAGCTCTCGTTGCTCGGTGCCTGCTCCTGCCAACCTAGCAGTTTGAAAGCATGTCAAAGTGCAAGTAGATAAATAGGTGCCACTCCAGCGGGAAGGTAAACAGCGTTTCCGTGTGCTGCTCTGGTTCACCAGGAGCGGCTTAGTCATACTGGCCACATGACCCGGAAGCTGTACGCTTGCTCTCTCAGCCAATAAAACGAGATGAGCACCGCAATCCCTGAGTCGGTCACGACTGGACCTAATGGTCAGGGGTTCCTTTACCTTTACATTCTGCATGTACTCTAGAGCGCTGAGAAACCATTTTAAATAGCAAACCACTGTTAGCTACTGCACAGTGCTTGCATTTAGGACAGCTGTTGCTCAGACTCATTACAGTAGAATCTCTCATGGAGGAACCCTGTATATTAAAGTCCCTCAATACCATTCATTACCATCTTCAAGAGGCAACATGCTGTCCCTGAAATTGCAAACAAAACCATCACAACCACTTAAGAATTCCTACATGGGGTATATTTGGAACCAGAACATTTGTTCAACAACATCAGCAAATTCTGAACTATCGGGGAAATAATAGACAACTCAATTCCTCCAGAGTGAATGTTCTGCTAAGGCAACAATTTTAACCGCGAGGATGTATTTTCCATACCAAAAGCAGCTCCTTAGAAGAGTCAGTCGCAAAGGGAACTTGTGGTTACTTATTTGCAATGATGCCATTTCAATTCCAAAAACTCTTACCCTCTTCATTTAAATAAGTCAGCAGGTTTTCAACCATTACACCAAATGAGTAGACATCACGGGAATGCCCTTGGCCGTCAGGAAGAAGTTGGAAGTCGTCAGACTAGAGTCATAGAAAGAGGATCACACAGCAGAAACTGGCTTAGAAAATAATTCCCACCTCTGACTCCACTCCAGACAGTTTGTACAAAATTTATTTTGTAGCCCTGCCTTTCCATTAAAGTGTTCAACGCAAGTTACAAAAATTAAGAACAATACCATAACAAAATACAAAAACAATGGAAAACAACAGACCATATAGTAGAAAGGAGTCTAAAAAACACAAAAGCTTAAAAGCCTAGTCACAAATTGAAAAAAAACCAGGATACTGAATTTTAAATACACTTTACATGTCAAAATACAACTTGAAAAGGAAAGGGATTTTGTGGTGCCAAATTTGGACTCTGGTTAAAAATGTTCACAAACAGAAAATCCAGAGACAACATTCTTGAGGGTTTCCCCACGCAATTCCAAAATAGAAATGTAATAGCAACTTCATCTTAGCATCTTTTAAAGAATGGTCAGCAAACATTTTCAGCAGGGAGCCGGTTCACTGTCCCTCAGACCTTGTGGGGGGGCTGGACTATATTTTGAACAAATAAATAAATAATGAACGAATTCCTATGCCCCACCAATAACCCAGAGATGCATTTTAAATAAAAGGACACATTCTACTCATGTAAAAACACGCTGATTCTCAAACCGTCTGCGGGCCGGATTGAAAAGGCGATTGGGCCAGATTCGGCCCCAAGGCCTTAGTTTGTCTCCCCATGTTTTAAAGTATCTTCCCCACAGATGATAACGTTAAGTTAGCTGCTTAATGGCTCCACCCATCAAATTAAAAATGGATAGTTTTCTGAGCTTATTTTTCAGATCTCCCACATAAACAATGGAGAAAACTTACCAGTTCTTCAGGTGGAATGCCAGTCTTCTCCCGTATTGACTTGATACTATTCAGGAACTATAAAGAGAAGAAGGCTTTGAGCCAATGAATGGTGATTCTAGCACTGTGCAACACTATTGCTTATTAAATTTGCACATCACACTTCATCGGTAGATCTCAGGGGTATTGAAACATGACAAACTATGAAAAGCATATACTACAGAAGTCTTCACATGTTAGCTATCATCCTTATAATCTTGGCCATACACTGATCAAATATTCAAGAAGCTGTCTCTTTCCTCTCTGTTTCACCCCGGAAGTAGCAGCTATCCAGAATGCCTTGCCCAACACAGTGCTTTTCAATCTGTGCTCTGTAGAAGAATGGACTCCACAACAGGATATATTAAAGTGGGAATAAAACCACTCCACAGGTTGCCTCTATTTTGTGGAGTTAGTTTCCTATTACGGCTCCATCATAGAGGAAAATTGCTCCACACAACAGCATAGTACTGTGCCAGCCAAAAGGAACAGGAGGTGATGCTGATAAAGGTAAAGGGACCCCTGACCATTAGGTCCAGTCGTGGCCGACTCTGGAGTTGCATGCTCATCTCGCTTTATTGGCCGAGGGAGCCAGTGTACAGCTTCCGGGTCATGTGGCCAGCATGACTAAGCCACTTCTGGTGAACCAGAGCAGCGTACGGAAATGCCGTTTACCTTCCCGCCAGAGTGGTACCTATTTATCTACCTGCACTTTGACGTGCTTTCAAACTGCTAGGTTCGCAGGAGCAGGGACTGAGCAACGGGAGCTCACCCTGTCGCGGGGATTTGAACCGCCAACCTGATCTGCTGCTGATAGGCATGTTGTAAACAAAATTTGCCCTTTTTCCCTTATGGGGTATTCTGGAGCCTGTATAGAGTCCTTACGTGGGTTCCCTATTGGTAGGAGAAAATAACAGAGGCCAACCAGAGAATATTGAGAAGCAAAGCAGCTAGTAAGCCTGATCTTTATTGATCTGTTGCAACAGGGTCCTCACTCACCACACGCAGGAGGGAGGAGGAACCCAGAACAAAGGTGTGCCCGCCCTCATATAGACATTTTAAATTCCCTGCCCTGGAGCTCAAGACCATACATCATACCCACATCACAGAAAGGGTAACCCAAGACCACCCCCCACAAACATCATACCTACATCACAGAAAAGGTGGTCTACAACAGAAATTTGAATGTTGTGTTTTTTTCTGTCTGGCAGGTTATCTGATAATGCCTTATCTGATTGCCTTTCCTGGTAGTCTGCCCATCCCTTTGAAATGGTGATTACTAAATTCCTGCAACAAGGAAGCTTTTTTCACTTCCTCCCTCCTTGCAGAGAAACATTTGGTCAGCTTGGGAGTCAAAATGGTTTCAGGATGGTCTTCCTGTGCTGCTTCAGACATGTGGTTTATCTATTTATGTACGTGTTTGCTTGGTACATTTATGAACATTTATTATATATCTAAGACCTTAAAATTCTTAGTGCACTTCTTATTTGAAAGATGCACCTAAGAATAGCCTAACTCACATAGCACAGTAAACCAAACTACGGCTTGCCGGGAAACTGAAAATGTGCAAGCTCCTGGAGATGAGCTCACAGCTGCTTCGCTCTTCTACAGTCCTTTATGCGCTTGTGCCGTGCTGAGCTAAACCAACATTTGCCTTATTTGGTGGACCATACTAGGGTTACTGATTAAGCTCTGCCATCAATAACCATGAGCTGCAGCCAAGAATAAACCCACAAAACCCAAGTGGCAGTAGCATTACTCTCAGGTCTGCCATGTTATTAAAAAAGGTTGGGTTGATTTCATTTGTGATATTTTACTTCACGTTTAGGAAATATTTTGTATACTTCTTTACTATGTTTAGGGGACGCGGGTGGCGCTGTGGGTTAAACCACAGAGCCTAGGACTTGCCGATCAGAAGGTCGTCGGTTTGAATCCCCGCAAAGGGGTGAGCTCCCGTTGCTCAGTCCCTGCTCCTGCCAACCTAGCAGTTCAAAAGCACGTCAAAGTGCAAGTAGATAAATAGGTACCGCTCCAGCAGGAAGATAAACGCCGTTTCCGTGCGCTGCTCTGGTTTGCCAGAAGCGGCTTAGTCATGCTGGTCACATGACCCGGAAGCTGTACGCCGGCTCCCTCAGCCAATAAAGCGAGATGAGCGCCACAACCCCAGAGTCAGTCACGACTGGACCTAATGGTCAGGGGTCCCTTTACCTTTTACCTTACTATGTTTATGCTCAATTTCTTCTTGTATTTTTGTCCTTGGTTTTTATGTGTAGTGTTTGTGTTGATACTAAAGCAGATGCTCTATTTAGTCGTGCTTTTACAGAATGTAGAAATTCCCTGGTATTGTTTGCATAACCCAGGCATAGGCAAACTCGGCCCTCCAGACGTTTTGAGACTACAATTCCCATCATCCCTGACCACTGGTCCTGTTAGCTAGGGATGATGGGAGCTGTAGTCCCAAAACATCTGGAGGGCCGAGTTTGCCTATACCTGGTATAACCTACGTTAGCCACTTGCTTTGTTCAAATATAAGCAGGATATAAATTGCCCAAATAAGTAAATAACTTGCTTGTTCATTGCAGCTAGTGAACCTTTGGCTAAAAGATAATTAGCTGCCAGCCTTGTTGAACGCCATCATTTAAGGCAGCATTAAACGCCCTCCAGGCAATGTTCTAGTCCAGCTAGTCAGGGTTGCTGGAAGATGCAGTCCAATGACATTTGTGGGGTCCATGTTTGCTACTCCTGGTTTAGGGAATCTGCAAGCTGGCTTCACCCTTTATTTCAAGGCAACAAGGCTTGCTAATGAGCCCACACGCATTTCAACCTAACAAACTTTAAATTACCCGACGCAGGGAGTTCAAAGACCACCCAGAAACCAGGAAATGCCCTCCTGGGCATGGCAAAGGAGTGGCCTCTGTGACTATACCTCTGCTGTTGCTTCATTCTGGTTGCAGACAGTTTCCATGCCTCCTAGCTTCCAGTGCCCATCTTCACTCACAAATACAGAAGATAAGCAAACATTGTTGTGTGTCAGGTGTCCCTAGAATACATTTGGAAAGGAAGGGAAAACATACAATAAGACTGGGAATAATTGTAGGCATAAAACGCTCGTTAGTACTAATTGGGTGTCACGAGACTCCAGAGGAGAGCTGCCAAAACCACAGAGGAGGTTTATATGCCACCAGAGAGCTCTTGCAAGGAGAGGAGCTGTATGCCCGGCCAAATTTAACTAGCATAACTCAGTTTACTCCCAGCGCACCATATCTGGGCAAGGAGAGAAATTTATGCTGCCTCAGGGTGTGCTCCCTTCAAATCTGCAGAAGAAGCACAAAACAACTGCTGAACAAACCAGATGGGAGACATTGCAATGAATCATGTAAAACACTGGAAAAACACAAAGCCAGCCTCAGAAGGCACGTGATCTGTTGTGTATTTCAAAAGGCATTTTCCTTTATTCCAACACCTATGACCAGATGGTAATACTGCCAACTTCCCAGCAGAAATGAATTTCCTTTCACTGCAAAACCTGCAACTCCCAACTCCAGGAGCATAGGAAGATCACTATTCTTTATGCTACTAATTTCAACTAGCATCATTTTGCATGTCACACACATATAAACCTCCTCTTCTTGCTGTTCTCCCACACCAGCCAAAATGTAATGCAGTATTTTAAAAATCAAATTTCTAGTTCAAATCAAAGCATACAAATAACGAGTTTATGCGAAAGTATTAGCTTAATATATCTGCAAAAAAGTGCTCAAAGGAGGTCTTGCAATAAAGAATTTGTTTTACTTTTGGAACATATTACGCAACATGCATATCCAAGGGGTCTTCCTAATATGTCGTTTCAAAACCAGACAGTGTCAATCATCAATATATTAACCTGGAAGACTGAATGAGGCCTCCGAAGAACTCATCAATCCTTCTTGCCATCTGAAAGCAGCCCGGTAGCTTTGCTATCAGTTAAAAGGTAAAGGTACCCCTGCCCATACGGGCCAGTCTTGACAGACTCTAGGTTTGTGCGCCCATCTCACTCTATTGGCCAGGGGCCAGCGCTGTCCGCAGACACTTCCGGGTCACGTGGCCAGCGTCACAAGCTGCATCTGGCGAGCCAGCGCAGCACACGGAACGCCGTTTACCTTCCCGCTAGTAAGCGGTCCCTATTTATCTACTTGCACCCAGGGGTGCTTTCGAACTGCTAGGTTGGCAGGCGCTGGGACCGAGCAACAGGAGCGCACCCCGCCGCGGGGATTCGAACCGCCGACCTTTCGATCGGCAAGTCCTAGGCGCTGAGGCTTTAACCCGCAGCGCCACCCGCGTCCCTTTTGCTATCAGTTAGCATTAAGTTAATTAATTTAGCTCTGAAACTGCTCATTTGAAAAAAAAAAAATACAAGCAAACTGAAGACACATGATTTTACATGTCCAATATCTTGCATTCAAAGTAGCACGATGACCAGTTCCTCAAGCAAAGCTCCCTCCATACATTACAATTAGTTTAAGGCCATGCCAATCAATGTGGTGCTCTCCAGATGTGGTGGACTCCAATTCTCATAATACCTAACCATGAGCAGATGAGAATTGTGGTCAAACTACCTAGAGGGCCCCAATGTTTTTCTATCCTAAACATTCACCTCTATTCCTAGAAGTAGAGAGAAAACCCAACCAAAAACTCACCCTATCATGGAGGAAGACAAGAGCCTGCAAAACATCATAGATACCAGCGCATATCTCTGGAGAGGAGAGGGTCTCCAGTACTTTCTCCAGTGGCTGAACACGCTCTGTAACCAGGTGGATTCCATCTGTTTCCACAGTACAAGAAAGGAAGCGCAGGAGGCATGGGTGGCGTAAAGTTTTCAGGTGCTTCCAAAACGCAAGATAAAGCCACTCAGTATGGGGCATCACACATTATACATCACACATTCAAACAGGGAAAAGGAACAGTAGTCTACATTGCTTTTTTTGGCACAGCTTGATTTTCACATGATACGATTTGATCATTTAATTTCTACGCCGCTTAATATATTTAAAATATATCCAAGCAGTGTAGAAAAAACAACCCTGAAGCAGTAGTCAAATAAAATATTACAAAAATACAGTTACATATTAAAAACTTGCATTAATACAAAGTTACTTATGTAAATCGGTATCAATTCATTTTCTTTCTGACATACCCTCCCTCTCAGCCTCCGGGTTCTCAGCCCCTGGGTTCAAACAAACTCCCCACCCACAAAAGCCTCACAATGAGAAGAACTTTTGGAAACAGCAGACATCACCATAGGCCTATCACTCTAGATTTGCTTTTCATGGGCAGGCCCAAGGTGAGTGATGCTCAGGTTGCCTACAGCTGTGCCCCATTCTCCACACCCAATTCCAGGTGCAGCACGTTGGCTGAGTTTTCCCAGGGATCCAGAAGATGGGGAAAGGGTCTTTCTCAACTCTCAACTCTTCCTTCATTTGCCACTTTATTTTCTTGCTCTGTATACCCTTGTTCAGTGCTGACAGCTCAATAACGTATTTCTAGTTTTCACTAGTTTCTGCTCATGTTTTGCACTGGTGAGTTTGAGCTGTGTTGGTTAGCCAAATCTGGAAGAAGCTGAGTCATATAAGCTCAAGGTGCTGTGAATTAGCTAGAATTCCTGTTAGTTTGGTTTGGCTCCTGCTCTAAGTTGGGTGAGTAGGGGAGAGGGAAAGCCTGTTGCAAAAGGAGGATATTGTACCATTCCTAACCCAAGAGTTATCACTGTCTCTGAGGTCGGTAGGTCTTTTTATACGAACCACCCCGGAAACTGCTTGTGAAGCAAGTTCTAATTTTTTAAAAATAAATAATATGCCAAATATAATACAATACCTTGGCAGCTTTGTTAACATTGTCTTCATTTTCTCTCTTGTATACAAAGACAGAAGCAAGTTTGCCACGCTGCAGTACTGCTGGGTAAATATTGACTCCAGAGGGTAAAGTAAATGGAGGCTCTTGCAACGCATCACGCTTTAAAGCGCTGTTCTCTGAGCCCATTACCTTGTAAACTCAAGCCGTTTTGCAGCGGGGTTTTTTCTAGTGTCAAAGCAACTTTAAAGAGCAGCGATTCCAGACAAATTAGTCCCAAGAGATGTTACTGTAAATTCCTCATAGCATTCTCTGCACAAAGATGAAAGACACAATAAATAATTTTAGATATTGTTTTGCCTTTTCTCTCTCACACACAAAAAGAGCTTAATGCTGCAATTCTAAATGAGACTTACTTTCAAGTAAACATGCATAGGATTGCCTTGAATCAGTCTTGGGACAAAGGGTTCAAATTCCAATCAGTGTGTTCAGCACAGAGATTCCAAGGTTCAAAAGACAACATCAACTTTTAACAGTTCTTTGCGTTAAAGAAACAGCCACACTATTTCTATCAGTTAATGCTAAAACATAAAGCCTGAAGTAGGAATGTACACAGGAAAGCACCAGAATCTGCATTCTCTGGAAGCAGCAAATTAGCTGTGCCCACTGCCCAGCCCAAATTTTGTTCAGTCAAAAGCAGCAAAGGCGAGAAGTCCACTTTAAACTTATCCACGAACATGACGTATTCAGGGTTTATAAATGAATCCAAAGAATTTCACAGAATTATAGGATTGCAGAGTTGGAAACCTTTGCCCAACGTGGAACTCGAATCCATGAGATTAAGAGCCTCATGCTCTACGGATTGAGCTATCCACAGACACCTTGAAAAATTTAAAATTTTGAAATTGGGATCCTTTCAAAAACCTATGCCAATGAGAGAGGAAGAGGACTAGAAAAGGAAATCAATAAAAAACCGGTTTACACACTGCATTAAGAAATAAAGAACTCAGTTGTGTTCTTCTGCAATAGGCTATGCAAATCACTTGTGGATTTGCCCCTTGAGTCTAATGTTGAAACCTCTAACCATCCCTATAGGATGCACAAGTTTTTCTTGTATTTTCTGGTTTTCCTCTGCAGCCTTAAGCTTGTAAAACCGAGATTTTTTTAATACTCCGGAAAAATGTGTTTGTTACACAACACCACCCCCCACCTGTTTTTGTGTGTGTACAAAATCAGACAGAATAGTGTTACGTTAAGCCATTAATATTTTCGTGTGTGTTATTTAAGCAAAGTTTGATGAGCACCTGGAATTTAGCGACAGTAATTATGTGTTGCTTTATATCAGACCCAGATAAGAAAATCTGCCACTCATGTCGACACACTGCAAAGGTTTTACCACCATTTGCGTTTTTTTGCTTACCCTACCCAACAAGAAAATAACCCACCTCCTTGACAGCCTTTGATTTTCCCAACTCTTTGCTTTGTAGTAGTAGTAGTAGTAATTATAATATACTTATTTATACCCTGCCCATCTGGCTGGGTTTCCCAACGGAATATTAAAAATAGAATCAAACATTAAAAACTTCCCTAAACAGGGCTGCCTTCACATGTCTTCTAAAACTCAGATAGTTGTTTATTTCCTTGACATCTGATAGGAGAGCGTTTGTTCTCTGGCCAAACTGTGTCATCAGGGAAAGTCTTCAGTTAACACACACACACACACACACACACACCCAAGTCTTGCAACACTTTAAAAACCAACAGGCCTTCTGTAATAAAAGTTTAAAAGGACAAGAGCTACTTTTGTCAGATGCACTCTTAACTCCCACCACCAATAGCAACGTGGTACGCACATGATATTTGTGCATCTAGTTCAGGGTACACTATGTGTCTGACTGGGCTCCGTTCTGCAAGGGATTCTCCCATAATGAAGCTGTATGTGTTTAAGGCATCTTGCAAGACTTTGGTGTTTTGCTTCAATGTCCAATCACAGCTCTTCCCTGGAGCAAATGAATGTGAACCCATGTGTTTGAAGGGGAAAATCTAATTTGCATTCCACCAGGCCTTAAGGAGAGCCCCGACACTGACAGGCAGCACCATCAACTGATGTGTATTATTATTATTATCATCTTTTCTTTACCATTATTACTATTATTATTACTAACTTTTCTTTACCTTTTTATCATTTTCATCATTATTACCTTTCCTTTACCTTTTATCACCATCATTTATTGAATTTGTATACAGTCATACCTCAGGTTGAATGCGCTTCGCATTTGAGTTGCGCTCCGCGGCAACCCAGAAGTAACGGAGTGCGTTACTTCTGGGTTTCGCTGCTTGCGCATGTGCTCAAAATGACGTCACATGCATGCGCAGAAGCGGCGAAAAGCGACGTGTGCAGACGTGCCGTTGCTAGTTAACGTTTGCTTCTGGGTGCGAACGGGGCTCCGGAATGGACCATGCTCGTATCCAGAGGTCCCACTGTACAGTGGTACCTCGGGTTACGTACTTAATTCGTTCCGGAGGTCCGTTCTTAACCTGAAACTGTTCTTAACCGGAGGTACCACTTTAGCTAATGGGGCCTCCTGCTGCCGCCACACGATTTCTGTTCTCATCCTGAAGCAAAGTTCTTAACCTGAGGTAATATTTCTGGGTTAACGGAGTCTGTGACCTGAAGTGTATGTAACCTGAGGTACCTCTGTACCGCCCTCTACCCGGAGGTCTCACGGCGGTCCCCTGAATAAAACCAAAACCACGAAAGACATAACCAAAACAAAAACAACCACCTTGCAATTACCGGGGGGGGGGGAACCCCACCACTCTCTCTCACACACATACACACGTGCAATGTAACAAGCAACACAAGCTCCTCCAATGGACTCCGAGCTAGATTCCCACAAACAGTGATCGAAAAGGGTTTATTTGGGGGGGGGGCAATTCCCCCCCTTTTCTCCTGAGAGAGGAGCTAGAAGGAGCTGCCGCCTCGTCGGGGCCCAAGGCGGACTAGGCCCCGAGGGGCGAACCCCCCCCCTCCCGCCCCGCTCACCTGCTGCCCCGAGGGCGGGGGGCGCCCCCCGTGCCGCCCTTCCCTTCGCCGCCCTTCCCTTCTCCGCTCCCGCACCGCCGCTTCTCCCGTCAAGGCGAGTTCGGAGGCGGACTTCCGGCCCGAGGACCACCATAGAGTCTACACCACAGCAGCAGCCGCGCAGAGGCGCTTCCCACTTCGAGGCCAGGAGGCGGACTTCCGGCCCGAGGAGCAACCATAGAGTCTCCACTGCGGCCGTACAGAAGCGTTTCCCACTTCGAGGCCAGGAGGCGGACTTCCGGCCCGAGGAGCACCATAGAGTCTAACACCACAGCCGCAGCCGCGCAGAAGCGCTTCCGCGGAAAGCGGCCGCCAAGGGGGCCGACATGTTGCGGAGGTGACGTACTTCCTGTCCGGTAGCAAGGGGGCACGGCGACACGTAGCACGGGCTGATTGCGTCCGGTGGCAACACATAACCCGGGATGATTGGTTCCGGCCAACCCCTTTCCCGGGGCCAATTTCGGGTTTTTTAATTTATTTATTATTATCCCCCCCCCGCCCTGCTCATTCGTCTGTCCGTTATCCTAAAAGAAAAAGAGAGCGGGTTTTTAGGAACTGGGGTGGCTTTAAATGAAAGAACTGGTGCCGTGCTTTTTTCATTGCAATAATCTGCATGTTGTTGTTATATTTTTTATTTATTATTTTATCTTTTATTTTATTATTATTGGTTTTTATTTATTTACACTATTGAGTTTCTATACTGCCCTATATCCAGAGGTCTCAGGACGGTTTGCAGAACAAGATCAACATAAAACCACTATATATATAGATATATTATGTATGTATAAAAATAACATCCTCCGTTTCAAACGGGTTTAACATGTGGATGGTTTTGATTCTACTCATGTTTGATTTTTCACTGATATTTTCTGTGATTCTTGTTTTCTTTTCATTTTTATTTGCATTTTCAAAAGCAGGAACAGAGAGCATCTTGAACATATACACAAATACCAAATTCCCTTCCACCCTTTTTCTGGTTCCTTTTGCTTTTCTACTGCTCGGCGTAATCCACATCTTTTTAATCATCCAATTTATTATCTATTAAATACTCTTAATCTATTTGAACTCTGCTGGATTTACACGAGACGTGCTATGTATCTGTCTATACTGGTTCTTGAAATATTCAATAAACATTGTCCATTCCTCCTTATATTCCTTATCTTTGTTTTCTCTTATCCTGTTCCTCAGACCAGGCAGTTCAGCATATTCAAACATTTTACACTGCCATTCTTCCTTGGTGGGTACTAGACTTATTTTCCATCTTTGTGCCAATAAGCTTCTAGCTGCAGCGGTGGTGTATAGTAGTAAACATTTATGTTTTGGGGGGACCTCTGTTGTTACCATCCTCGAGAGGAAAATCTCACGTTTTGGGGAGATTTTTTAAAGTATCTTTTTCAATTCATTATATATAGTTTCCCAATATTCCTTAATTATTTTACAAGAATGCCACGTGAATAAAAACCCCTCAATTTCATTACACTTCCAACATACACCTTCTTGTTTTCAATCTGTAATCCTGCCCTGAGCACAAGTCCCATCAGTTTGGGGGGGGGGATATAAGAATTAATATTCTTATAAATGAATATATAAGAAGCCTGTCCTCAATCTACTGACAGCCCCCAAAAGACTCTCATTGAATGTTCTGCAATTCTCAGAGAGGGCATCTCTGTCTCCATGACCGTGTATATTTTTATTACAATTATTTAGATTGTTACAGATCTACAGTAAGTTTTTTTGGGGGGTGGGTGGGTTGCAAGGGCTAGAGCAGGCTTCCTCAATCTCAGCCCTCCAGATGTTTTTGAGACTACAATTCCCATCATCCCTGACCACTGGTCCTGTTAGCTAGGGATCATGGGAGTTGTAGGCCAAATACATATGGAAGGCCGAGGTTGAGGAAGCCTGTGCTAGAATGAGGGGATGTTGCAAATGAATAAATGGTACAAATTGGAGTATTGAAGGAAAGGTGGCAGGTGTTAGATTTAAAACACAGGCTGGACCAGTTCTCCTGTTCAGAAGGTGACTGATAGCGATGCAGTTAAGGACACAAGGAAATAAAACTCCAGTGCAGGGCCATTGGAAGGCAGCCCTGTTTAGGGAAACTTTTAATGTTTAATGGATTACTGTATTTTAATATTTTGTTGGAAGCCACCCAGAGTGGCTAGGGAAGCCCAGCCAGATGGGCGGGGTATAAAATCATCATCATCATCATCAATTGGCCATGCAGGTGCTGCCCATTCCTTCCCGCAGAAAAATTGTGTTGGGAAGGGGAGGTCACATGAGGCATGACGTACCACAAGAAAAAATGTGCCCTTTTGGGGGGGAAACAGTTCTGGATAAAGAGGGACAAGAAGGCAAGTTGCTGCTTGGAGCAACGGTTCTTAGGAAGAAGGGCGGAAACCTGTGCCAAAGTTTTGCAGTTTTTTTGCAGCGGAAAACCCCGCGTTTTGCAGCACCCCACAAAAGGAATAATTGATATATCAAACACGGGGTTCGTACTTAACAACTATGAACCCCAACATTTGGGATCCCCTGGAAACCAGTGCCAAAGTTTTGCAGTTATTTTGCAGTGGGGTTTTTTTGACAATTTTATTAAGATAATAGAAAGCTATATATCAAAAAGAATAAAGAGAAAGAAAATATAAAATGGAATACTCATGATCCTTGCAAAACGCAATTATATAAAAAAGAGAAAGAAAAAAAGAACAGAGGAAAATAACTAAATTAATAGATAAATGGATAAAAAGAAGAACTCCTGTCTCTCTGACAATTATCTGTAACAACATTTATTCAAGTAACTTGATGGCATCCGTTCAGGGGTTATTCAAATTTTAAAGGCAGCAAGATTTAAATATTGTCATCTTTACAGAGGTAAGAGGAATTCAGTATATTTCCTGAACGCCTTCAGGGATCAAGAAAGCTCTTCAATGGAAGGTCACCTGTTGGATTTGAATTATGTCAAGAAAAATGGAGACGGGGTGTATTACGAAGAATGTAAACTTACCAGACATATTTGGAAGTACTTGCAAGTTCTCTTTCCCAAAGGGACAATCATAGAATCTTAGAGTTGGAAGGGACCCAAGGGTCATCTAGTCCAACCCCGTACAATGCAGGAATCTCAACTAAAGCATCCATGACAGATGCTTCCAAGGAAACAGGGGCAATTTGCCAGCCCCAGCTAGCTCCAGCCCACCAGCCAGTAGCCGGGCGATCTCCGGTGCTTGGCTCAGCATGAAACAGTGACCCGCAGTTTCAGAAGCCTTCAGAAGCTGGAGCACGCTCCAATCAGCAGAGAAAACAACACTGCGCAAACAGAAGTGTCAGTAGACTTTTACAGGCAGTTTATTCAGCATATGTCAGAACTAAGGAAAAACATGTCTTCTCCCTTTTGTGTCCAAGAGCAAGCAGCAAAAGCTATACACACAAACAAAAATTCCCAGCAAGCTGTGCTGGAGAGTAAACAGACACGTGACATAAAACAATCCACACATCTGTTTTAAGGTGGAACGGAACATCAATATCCTAACACACCCAACCTCTGCTTAAAAACCTCCGAGGAGGAAGAGTCTACCGCCTCTCGTGGGAGTCTGTTCCACTGCCGAACAGCTCTTGCTGTCAGAAAGTTCTTCCTGATGTTTAGTCAGAATCTCCTTTCTTGCAATTTGAAGCCACTGAAGGCTAGGTATCCACCACTGAATAAATCAGGCAATTTTAGATTTAGTTTTAAAGATCTCAGCCAAGTACCCGGAAACAATCTTGGTTTCGGGAGTAGCATCTCTCAGCAAATATTGGATTACAGACTCTTTGCAAAACAACATTCTGAGCTGTAAGGGAGTCACTAGGAGATCTCTGCGATGGGTGTAGAGAAGAGGGCAACCCAAAATTATGTGATGTATCTGGTGTTTTCTTATTACAGAGACAGAATCTGTTTCGGAAGGGGATTTTTTGACACCTTCCAAACAATACAGATGAGAGGGGAATGCATTTAGACGAGCTAGCATAAAAGTTCTGCAATGGAGTTTCTAAATTATTAGGCATGACACCATGGTGGGGCTGCAACCCTAAATAAACAGATGTGCATAAAAAGGCTGGGAGGGGTAGAGTTTTTGGGTTTCATGATCTAGAAGCCTCTGCCTGATGAGAGAGATTTGTGAGTCATCCAATAGAAGAAGGAAACCTATTGCAATCCCTATTTGCCTGAGTTTGAGGGTAATATCAGAAAACCATGTAGAATTATGTGTATCTCTCAATAAAGAAGTAAGCTTTCCGTGTCTGTATTAAAATAAATTTTTAGCCAGTATTTGAAAGTCATAATCCAGCCCCTAGATTCTAGGAGATGCTGGCCTAACTCTGTACACATAAACTCTTGTGTGCTTGTCGCATTGCATATTAGTAATTTATGGACAATCAATCTTTCCTTTTCGTATCAGACACAAGCCCAGGTGAAGGATGCATTCTGTGTAGTGGGGCAACATGTAAGGGTCAGTAGCATTAATAACGCCACCAGCGTCTGGAGAAAGCTAGCATGAGCCGAGGCATTTTAATATAGCGCCAAAATACTACAGAAATTAATAAACCCTCCTGCTTCATATATTATGGGACTGAATCCAGGATCAGATTAAACCAGTCTAGCTGCTATTAAATTTTAATTTCCATAGTTCCTTTCTGTGGGATTTGTGTGTTCAGTCCCAATGCACATTGGGAAAACTGCTAGTAACCGCTCAAGGGGTCTGAAGTGTGAGTCGTTGAGGTGAGAACCAAACACTCAAGGCAGGTAGGTGGTCTGCGTATGTCTAAGGCCCCCCAACTCAATTGCTCCAGCATTTTAACAAAAAAGCAACACAAACAGACAGCTTCTACAGTCATTAAAACAAATAGTTCTCCATTAAATGTAGTAAAAGGACTCTGGGGAGATATTTCCTGGGAGTATTTTGGATAGCAAAATGAACATGGAAAGAAATTACCAGAGTGGGAGGTCTGGGGTTTTTTCCCCAGCACACATTTTTCATTTCACCAAGTATGATCCTTGCTCCATACAATATGGAGACATAAGGATGTGGTTTGCCAACTCATTTTGAAGCTCAAATACAGGAGAAGTCAAAACGTCCATTGCAGTTTATAAAA